TCTTGAAGCTTGAGGTCAATATTGGTGAAGTTCAATGTTGCATTTATATGTTTTCTAGAAATGTTGAGTGTGTTGGTTGTATTTTCTATAGTTAAAGTGTATGCAATAATCATGAGTATGGGATTCTGTTGAATGCTTTCTTATAATTAATGTTTATTACATGTGTATTTCTGTGTTGTTTGTGCACTTGTAATTGAATGATTAAATCTATAAGTAATTGTTCTTTGCATTCCATATGATTTCTATGCTTTCTGTTTTTCTTTAAGAATATTGTGTTGTTCATTTTGAAGATTTATTTTGTTTGTGATGCCTGATATAAGTATTTTCAGTGTTGGAAGGCATGTATCGGTTTGAATTATTATTTTTATTATTTTTGGGTTTCAGGTATATGATGCACTATGTAAAAAATTTTGGTTTGCCTTGTGGATTGTTGATTCTGTGTGTGTAAACTAGATGTCTTCCAATTATGTATTTGTTGTACTGCATTTTGGATATTGTGTATACAGTATTTATTTCAACACAAGACACATGATTGATGTATTGTGCATGTTTTGTTCTTCCTTGATCAAATTTTTTTTTTCTGTTTGATTTGTCAAGTTCTTACAATGCTTTCATAAACAATATATAAGTATTAATAGTAACTATATTTTTATTACAGGGTTTAAAATCAAGAGAGAAAACAGTATCTGTAGTTAAAAATAATTTGACAATTGAATCTGTTTTAGAAAAATTATCAGCTAGAAAGAGCTAATGGTAATGAAAAGTTATGTTGTTTTAATTATTTCTTTTATTTATAATTTTGTTGAAATACTTCAAAACCTAAGATGATGATGATGATGAATTTCAAAAATATTTAATAAATTTCATAATTCATTGTTAAAAGTGATATTAGAATATAAAATTAAGTTTTAAATGGAAAATGCTTTAAACCAGTTGTTATCAATCTTGGATTAGGACATAGGGCAGAAGTCACTGATTATCACTTTTTCAGCAAAGTAACATTTTTGTAATTTTTTCATATTGTCACTGAATAGGCATTGTGAATAGTTCTTTAAGTCATATTTTGTTAATGTTTACTAATTCTAGTTGCAACTGTGACTGTAGTAGCATTGTTTTATGTTTGTGGATAGCTACAGTTTGAACTTAATTATGAAACAGTTTCTTTTAATGTTTTCTTAAATGTGATTGAATAACTGCAAAGCAAAGTTACTATTGGTCATTACAAGTCGTTTTGTATTTACTATATAAGGAAGTTTCCTGAAGAACTTTCTAATGACTTGGCATTACAATAACACCACTTACAATACATAGATGCTATGTCTTGTTCAGTACATGTCCATCTCAAAGAACATCAAACAGCTATCAGAAAAGGTTTAACCATTATGGCTTTGGCTAGCTACGCATCCAACCCAGGCATCTAGGTAGATTTACACTAGACGCACCTCTGATGTTTAATATGTGAAGCAGTCAAACAAGGGTTGGCTACACTTGTATGGCTGATCAAATAATTCAACTGTGGTGTTGTTTTTCATGGAATCATGCTGGTAGTAGCATGATTCCATATTTATAAAAGTTTTGATGTGTGCTTACAAAAAACTGATCCAAGTGATTTTTGACATTATCATTTCAAGTAAATGTCTTACAGTTTAAAAAATTTTGTAAAGACTGGAACAAGTAATAATCTGATAGTGCCTGATCTGGTGAATATGGTTAATGTGATAGCAAATCCCATCTAAGCTGTAACAGTTTCTGACAAGTTATCAAACTTGTGTGAAATTTGGCATTATCATAGTAAAACACTACACCTGTTTTGTTGATCAATTCTGACCTTTTCTGTTTGATGATATTACTCAATTTGTTTACTCAATGGCAGTACCCTTTCGAATCAATTGTTAAATTATCTGGTAAAAGCTCCAAAAAAAAATTTTCTTAAAATCCCACCAAAGAGAGCATCTCTCTTTAAGAACGTGTGGAACTATATATCAAGCTTTGAAACAAAACCAATTTGTTTCAAGTAATCATAAACAGTTCAATTTGACAAATTTAATCTCTTAGTGATTCCACATGTTGTTATTTGGCAGTTTGCTTCAATCAGTACCTTTATTTTGTTTTCATTGGCTTCAACTGGCCATCCAGAACGTGGTGCATCTTCAATATTGAAATTGCCAGAACAAAATTCTGTAAACCAGTTTTGGCACTGTCTTTTTCTCAACACATCTTCTCCATACATGTACTACAATTTTTTTCTTGCTTGAACTGCATTTTGATTTTTTGGTAATAAAAAAGCAAAATATGCTGAAAATGATACTTTTGATTTTCCATATTTGATGAGACGACAAAAAAAAAATTGTACAGAATCAAACAATCTCTTAGAAATAAGTCTTTAAATGTCTGCTGTCAAAACATATAATTAAAATGAAATTGGCTGGTAAAAATACATCTAATTCCTTTAGTAATAAAAAACAAAATTACTTTCCGAACAATCCAATAATTTGACAGGATAAATCCGTCATTCTGGACTTCTTACAGGTGATCACCCACAACCCCTTCGGCCTACTACTCTGTCTTGAACAGGACAATGCCCACTCCATTCATTTCCTGGACCTCAAGATCACAAACAAACTGGGACACCTGTCTACTCAGGTCTACAGGAAACCCATTCACCTCCCTAATTTCATCCCAGCCTCATCCCACAATCCTTTCACTTTCGCAATGGCAACTTTCAGAGCCTTAATATGGTGAGCATTTACTCATTCATCTAGCAAACAGGAAAGAGAGAATGAGCTTTGTACTATCACCCAATATGCCATCTAGCATGGCTACATCCCACACACTATTATGGGACTGATCTGCAATCTTTCCAACACTGCTTCCATCCAGCTAAATAAACCCTCTCAAGAAGAAACAAAGTTCAAACAAAGTCAAAGCTCAAGATCTTAACCTAAAGTCACTTGCCACACTTTACAAAGGAATTGCATGAGGAAACAAATTTAATTTGACATTCCGCAGAAGTCCAGCTATTGCCTCTCTCCTCTGCAACGCCAAAGACCATCCCAACAAGAACCATCTGCCAGGCATCTACAGTATCACCATCATAGATCATCATTACAACCACTACTTACAATACATAGGTGCTACATCTCACCTGTTACATGCCCATCTCAAAGAACATCAAACAGCTATCAGAAAAGGTTTAACCAATACGGCTTTGGCTAGCTACACATCTGACCTAGGCATCTAGGTAGATTTTCACTAGATGCACCTCTTACACAATAAAATTAAACCATATGTCCTTAAACATCTGGAACAAGTGGAAATTTACAAGACGTAGAACATTTTCAACCAAGTGCTTATGACACTACTATAATAGTCTAATGATATCAAACTAAGCTCACCTTTTAATATTTACTATTATGAATATTGGCCTTATCATTAAAATGACATAGTGGAATTAGTGACAGAGAAATAAGATACATGTCAGTAGAGGTCATTAACTGTGTCTTATATCAAATCTAAGACATATTTTATATTCAGAGAAAAGTAAACCTGAAAAAAGTGCATCTCATATTTGTGTAAGTACAGTAGATTTTGGTAGAAAAATTAAGCAAAATCTTATTTTTATTTCTTATAGACATACAGTAGTGGCCAAAAGTAGTGCTACCCTTGACTTATGTTTTAAAAATGCGACCTCTATTTTGTTCACTACCTACTACATAATTAATATTGTGGTAGTTGAAAAGAGCACAAAAACAGAGTCAAAATACTCAATTAACACAAACAGATTTTATTATAAATCTGATTTACAAAAGAAAAAACAAAGTTTTTATATTTTACACTGTGACAAAAGTAGAGCTATCAAAGGAAGTATGCAGATTTATCCAGTATTTTTAGAACAAAATATTAGTATTTTGTGGTGTCACCAGAGCTTCTGATCACTGCATCATATCGACGTTCCATTGAATTAACTAAGTTGTCAAGCAGTGATTTGGGAGCCTCATACCATGCTTTTTGAATGGTAAACCACAATTCATCCAGATTTGAATGTGTACGTTGGCATATACAGTGCTCAACTTTATCCCAAAGATTGTATATGGGGTTTAGGTCTGGTGATTTTGGACTGGCCATGTCATAAGATTCACCCTTTTCTTTTAAAGCCTTAATTGCTTTACTAAATTTGCTGTGTGTTTTGGGTCGTTGTCCTTTTGGAAGATCTTGGCATTGAATGATGTGCATGAGGAAGCACTTGTTTCTGCAGTATGTCGTGATAAATGGTTTGATCCATTATTCCATTAATTCTATGAATTGGACTAATTCACTTTGCAGAGAAACATCTCCATACCCATTATGCAGTCACCACCATGCTTTATTATAGGAACTGTGTATTTTGAGTCATATCTCATGTTCACTGGTCGTCTGACATATTGTATACCATCACATAGAGAAGACATTGAATTTAGATTCATCACTCCATAACATCTTGGACCATTTTTGTTTGGTCCAAGTGATGTGTTCATGTGCAAACTCTAATCTCAACTTTTTGTTTTTTGCAGAGATGAGTGGTTTCTTTGCTGGTCATTTCCAATGTAATCCAAAACTAGTCAAACATCTTCATACAGTCCTTAAGCTTATATCTGGGTTACCCACTTCATGTTTAATATGTGAACAGAGCCATAACTAGGCAGGTGCAACAGATGCATCCACACAGCTGCATCCAAACTGCTGTTCATAAGAAATTATATTTTTAAATTTTAAATTTTTCTTCCTTTCTATTGGTGATTACATTTTGCCTTATTTAGACCTTAGATGTCTGCTCACCAGTGTTCCCAACCGTGGCGACTTTTAGAGGGACGTAGTGAGATAGCAGAGACCGCAGACCTAAATCAGCCAAAAGTAGCGATTTTTGAAATTTTGTTTGTTTATTTTTTGAGAAATTTAAATTTATGTTTATAGCTTTCAAATTTATAGATTTTTCTCTACTTTATAGAGCTTTCTGGCGACGACTAATATTATTATGATATACAAAACTGTATTTCTAGATTTTTCTACAGTGTGCAGAGCTAGAAATCTTTAAAGGTAACATTTTGTAAGAAAAATAAATCTGCCGGCGATTTTTTTAATTGCTAAGTTGATAAACTGAAAACGTGGTAACTCTAGAATAAAATCTGTCTTGAGGTTGTAAAAGGCGTGCAGAAATTCTGACATAACTTTTTGCTTTATAGTGGTATGCATATGTGTTGTATACCTCAACGGCGGATTAATTTAAACGGTAAGCAAACTATGCGGCCACATAGGGGCTCAAAGGGGTCCCCAAGGTCTTTAAAATTCTACTGAAAAAAGGGATTGCGAAAACGCAGAAGATAGAAATAGTCCAGAAAAACACTTCGATATAGACATGGAAGTAATAAATGATATAGCTTTATGGCCAATAATATTAATTAACAGATGCTATTATTTTCTTATTATCATATTCTTAAAACAAACCAAAAAGTATTGGGAATATAGCGAATTTGAAATCAGTGTATACAGTAAAGACAGAGATGAAGTGTATTACAAAGAACTTTCTTATGATTATTTTTACAGAAAGAAATCAAAATTATGGAAAAGAGAAATTGATCGATATTTTCAGAAAGAAGCAAAAGTGTTTACTGTTACCCTTGCAAACTCTTTTCAACATCAAAGTCTAAATTAATAACTGGTTTATCGAGTAGCGACAAAGTAGCTACTTTTCAAAATATCTGTGGCGAAATCAATGACTTTTATTTTAATATGTTGCGGCGTTTATTTACGAACGTTTGACAACACTGCTGCTCACCAACATAAACATTCGAATAAATGGCAGAACTGACTGATATTTTCAACATGCCTATGTTAACTTGTCTAACTTAGGTTAGTGTAGTGATATTGGAACTTCTCATCCTCCCTCAATGTGGTTTTGTGGTCCAGGTACAATCTATTTGCATGCAGTCGGAAAGAGTAGTAAGAAAATGTAGACAAAGGGCCATAAAAAAGGAAGGAAGAAAAGGTGAAAAAAGGGAACAGGAGAGTAGGTAGAAGCTCGGGAGAGAGAGGAAGCAGTAGTAAAATGGTGGAATCTGAAAGTGAGATTAAAGATTAAAGTTTTTTTTGTATTACAATATTTGGTTGTTCGAGTTCTGTGTGACAAATTGGCGAGGCAGAATCCGTAATTCAAATCAGGTTATCTACAGTTAGGTTACAGTGTGAATATGGCAACGTAGTCACTGTACTTGTGTTTGTGAAAACAGGTAAGAATGTAAATAATAATATTAACATTATTTGATTAATATTAAGATTTCATAACAGACACGTGATGAACGTGCTTGGCTAATCCTGTCAAGTTTGTTATTTCTGTAGGTAATTTTGTACTTTTGTATTTGTATAGTGAAGTAATTTGCAATGCTAAGTTTTTATGTACATGTAGACTATTTCATTTAGTACTTTTTAATGTATATTTAAGTTTTATAGTAAAATTTTAATAATTAATTTTATATTAAACAAATTTTTAGGTTTTTATTATTTTCTGTAAAATGTTTGGTTGGAAAAATCATAGAAATATGAGATACGAGGGCATCCAAGCAAATGATATTTTGTCACTTGCTTGCATTCACTCTATAAATAATAGTTACTATACAGTTTACCAGTGTCGTAGTATGGATGTCAGCGCCCAGGGCGGAGAAAAATTTCACCGTCCCGTTGTTCAGGTACCTCAATTTAAAAGACTAAAATTCCATTTCATAACAGAAGAACAAGTAGTAAAAATTTTCTTGCCAGTGTAGCCACCTGTCTAAAACTGTGCTTGTACGATTCATTTTTCATATACACCTCCAATTTCCAATGGACCTGTCTAAAATAGCTCAATTGGATATTGGAGGTGTATATGAAAAATGAATCGTAAAAGCAATAAAAAAAAAAATGGTCGACGGGCTGCGCACACGGATGAAATTAATATTCACCCGGACGGTGAGTCTATTCTCAGACTATTCCGTGCTCATTTCAATTGTAGGTGCGACAAAACTATGGGATAAAATGGTTCAAATTTTTACAAGATGATATTATTATTTATTGTGAAATTTTGCTGCCCCTTAAAAAGTGCCACCCGGGGCAGGCCACCCCTGCCGCCCCCACTATGCTACACCACTGCAATTTACAGTATCTTATAAGTTTTATACTTGTATAGGCAACATGTTAAAATTAATATTTTTGTTTAGTTCTAGTTTAAAAATGTCTAAGCAACTGTCGGGCGCATAAAAGAGAAATATAAGGAAACGAAAATTAGAAGAATGCAAGTCAGTGTCGCAACAATTTGTTAAATGGCTAAATACAGAAACACCAGAGAACGGAGGAAGTTCGGAAAAGGTCAAACCTACTACTGCTTCACAAGCTGATGATACATTTGGACTCTTTGTGCTCTCCGAGCGGTAAGGGGCCTAAACCCACAAAAAAAAAAAAAAAAAAACTGATGCTTTAACACCTACCTACT